TCCACTTCTGAAATCTCTCCTTGCCACATATTTAATCCAAATCATGTTAAGTCTATTTAAAGACTGCTCTTTTATGCAACTGGTATTTTTTAAAATCTTCTCTTATTTTTAAAATTCCAGACCTATTTATCCTGACCTACATTATAGTAGACTAATACTTTAATTTTTACACTCAGAACTCAGAGGTTTTGAAACTTCTGTCCGGTCTCAAAAGGAGTGGTACCACCACCTAAAGGAGTATTTTAAGAGGCTTGTGGAAGTTGTTTCAATTGTCAGTGAAGTAGATGGGGGACCTTACTGTCATCAACTATGAAGACCAGATATCTTGGAATATTTGAGGCAGTAGATAAAAAGAACCCTTGATGGCTCTGCCAGAACTCAGAAAAGAAATTATTTTTAGTTTTTTGAGCCTAGAATCTATTTTGCAAAGTATATTTAACTACTCACTGAATTTTCTATCAGCTCAAAGGCCAGATAAATTCAAGAATAATGTACTTTGAATTGTTAGAAACTTAGAAAGTCATTCACCAAGTGAAAGTACATCATTAAATGCTAACTATAACACAAATACAGCATGCATGTATAACTTACATTCATGATGACAAGTGTAATCACGTGTTTACTTCACTGACTTCACTATCTTCCTGCACAGCCACACTTGAGCATTACATATTTAAAAGTGTTCTTTTAAATAAATTAACCCTTTTTACTCCTCTGAGTCAGTATTTAGGCACTCTATTAACTTTAAAAATATGTATAGGTGTTGATAATTTATTTCCATGTTATTTTATTTATTGATCTTTTTGAGACAGGGTTTTTCTGTTCAGGCTGGCCTTGAACTCAATTTTGTAGCTCAGGCTAGTCTTGAATTTGCAAGGATCTTCTTGTCTCTGCCACCCGAATGCTGGGATTATAGGCGTGTGCCACCACACCTAGTTTTATTTCTTTTCTTTCTTTTTTTTTTTTATTTAAGAGGAAAAAGAGAAAAACACAAAACAAAACAAAGCAGTGTAAGGTTACACATAATACAGAACTACCAAAAAAAAAACATAACAGTAAGAAATCACCTGTTAATAGATTACATATTATCATCTTGGAAATAGTTGCTCAAATCACAGTATCAAAGAATACAAAGTAGACATTCAAACAGAGAGACTGCGAACAGCTGTGTTCAATGATCCAAAAACATTAATATAGTCAGCTATTTAACAGCCCTATACACACTTGCTGTTATATCCGTTAGAGCTCTTTTTTTTCCCTTCCTCTCTTTTTTACAACAAAATTTACACATTTTGGATTTTATTACTCCTTAGTTCTTATTACTTTTTGGGGGGGGGAGAGAATAAAGTCAAATATGGCAAAACAAAGCTGTCAGTCAAGCCTGGTTTTATTTCTATGAATTCAAGACAAGAAAATATAAAATTTCATAAAAGAGAACTTGAGTATGACAATATGTACCACTGGTCTACATGGAGCAAGAAGTTCTAACCCTGGCTTTTTTCTACTCAGAATCTTTTACGGCTTTACTTCTAGAAAGTTGTCCAAATTCATGTTCCCAGATTCCATTTTTTTACAACATAGGTACATCTATTTTTCATATTATATGAGTCTAAGCAGCATATGAGTTCTATATGTAGTCTAAAAAGTCCAACTAAAATGAATTTTATCTCCTCCTACATGCTCCATGCTTAGCACTTCCATGCCTTTCCATATTGGAAAATCCTTATTCTGTATCTTATCTAAGATCTACTCATTCTTCAAGCGCCAATATAAATAACTGTGCAATTTTTACAAGTGCAAGAGATTATTCTTCCTGAACAACTGTATAATTTTTTTTCCGTGCACTTTCAACTATGTCACTTTAATCATTAGAGATTGTTTTTGTTATTCAACTCTAAACCAAAGGTCATATTCCAGCAGCTCCCAGCTGCACACAACCTGATCATATTTAAACAATCTGTGTAACACTTAAAAAATCAATACTGAAAAAAAACCCCACTATTTCACATAAATCTAGATTTAAGGCTTCTCTTACAAGTGAGATTTGGCCACTCTGAGCCTAAATCATACATGATAATAATTCACTATAATGGTGCCTACATTCTTTAGGATGGCATAGTTCATCAAATGGAGATTTTTACCTAAGTCAAATCACATTCATGACCCTACTGGGCATATTCTTGGGAGAACTGCTCTAATTCTTCCAGGCATGCTCTCACACTGTCTTCTACCAAACATCACAAAGCACACTTGGTTCGTTTCTTACTATTTCAAAAATAAACTGCAGAACAAAAAACTATCTCACAATCTATACCATCACATTTTCCATCGGTCATTGATAATATTATCTTATTACTTGCTCAAGGTGCTAACCTCAGTCACTGCAAGCTTACTGCCAAATTTAGGATCTCACAACTCTACAAAAATTCATACTCTTAAGAAACCAGATGACACAAACAAGTTCTGTAACAAGTACTTCTCGTACTAGTGAAGTCCCAAAACTGCTGCTGTTAAAAATAATAATAATAATAATAATAATAATACTTTAGATCATTTTCAGCACCCCTGCATAATTTTCTTTTCTTTTTTTTTTGGTATCAAATTTATTTTGCAATGACATAAGCATTGCCCAAATATGGGGCTAATACAAACAGCAGACTTTAAGTCTCCAGCATGGTGCACTGCTCTGGGTGTGGATGTCTGACCACCTCGCCACTGCATAATTTTCAATCTGCTAACATAATCAAAGTAACATAACATATAGATCCACTTAGACTAATCTTCAACGGCAGGGTTAGGGGGCTAAAGATGTAGCTCAGGGGTTAAATCCCATCTAGCATGCCCAAGGCCCTGAGTTTAATCCCAATGAATTAAATAATCTTTTTTAAATGTAGGATTGGGTCCACTAATTATATTTTTTAACTTTCCGAGTATTGCAATTAGAGAATTCAGTAACTGTTAACCATTTACTTCTACTCCAAGTAATTAAGGTTTTAATACATTTCAAAAGTAAAGTGTGATGAGAGAAAAAAAAATTAAAGAGCTGTAGTAGATGATTGTAAAAACAATGAGTCAACTGCCAAAGTTTACGTAAGTGGAAATGAGCTCTAAAGCAACACTGATCTTACTCTAAAAATATCTCCAACGCATCACGAGGCAAAAAAGACACGGGAAAGCCATCACCACAAATGGGAATGTACATCAAAGTACAGTAGAATGAATGATGTTTTTCAAATAATCCAGCATATTAGACAGGCAAAACAATGTAACCATAAAATAACTTCAGGGTAACAAACCAAACCACAAAATGCCTTAAATTAAATACCTACTTTATTAAACTGACAAAGTATCTGGCATTTTAGGTACTATCATATGGGAAAATACACATCTTAATAAAGATGTATAACTTTAAAACAATCCTTAGCAATTATATATTTCTTTTTTTAACTTTTTATCAGTACCAGGGATCGAACTCACAACCGCCTGCTTGCAAGGCAGGTGCTTATGCCACTGAGCTAAATCCTCAGCCCCTATATATTTCTTAACTATTGAAAGTATTAAAACTGACTAGCAGGCAAGAAGTTGAGTTCAATCCCTCCCCCGTCTTCAATCACTCCATCAATCAATCACACTCCAGTAAGACTAAAGCAGAAACAAGTTACTTAAGACTGTTGTGGGAATGGCATAAATTTAGTATAGCTGCAAAGGACACTAAGACAGAACTATAAAATCTTTCGTACTTCTAGATTTGATAACTCTACTCTTTAGCTTCTGTCCCAAATAATTCAAGAGGAAAAAAATAAAGCAAACAAACATTTTTAAAAAGAACAAACCCCTGAATATGCACTAATGGAAATAGCTGATGATATCACATTCTTTTATACAAAGGAAGTTTGTACTTATTAAAAGTGACAACTACATATAGTTAATACATAAACATTACCAAGTTTTACTGGATGTAAAAGAGCACCATGCACACTTATATACAATGTAAGTAAATAAGACTTGTTAAGAGCTGCTGAGAGCAATTGTAAACACTAAGAATTATTTACACTGCCTATCAAAGTGTTGATAAATTGTGAGACAGTTGGCAACCGCATATAGAAGCACCTATCTATAATTCAACAATAACACAATTTTTCATTTTAATGTATACATTTATACAAAGTTATTTAATCAACTAATTTAAAAATAAATGCCTTCATTCTTATACCCTCAATCTCAACTTCCAATTCTTAGAATCACAGATCAAGGAAGGGATACTTGCTTTTACTTCCTTTTGTATATTTTACACAAAAAGAAACAGATTAATTCATGTAAAATTATCTAACAATTTGCTAGGATTACAACAAATGTCCTTTTTTTTTTTTTAACTTCTTTCCCCAAAAAGAGTCATTGATGAAGCCAGGTATAGTGGTACATGCTTATTACCCCAGCATTTAGGGAGGCTGAGAAAAAAAATGAAAGTTCAAGCTCAGCCTGGGCAACTTAGTGACAAACTGTCTCAAAATTTAAAAATAGTAAGAATATAAAGGGCTGGGGATGTAGCTCATTACAAAGGCCCTGGGTTCAATACTGAGTAATCTGCAGCTTTCTGATTTATATCATGCCTAAAAGAATGTCTGAAGTGTTTTTCTCATAAAACCTCATAAAAATGTCTTCTCAAGAAGAAAAGATGACGATAAGGGTGGTGGGAAAATCTTTCCAAATAGAGAACGCTATTATAGATATCTAACGACTGGGTCAACACTTGCCATTCTGAAACCTAAGTAGTGGGTTTTTTTTTTTCCCTACAACAGCAAAGAAAAGAAGCAGGCATGTAAGCTTAGAAAAACAAAAACAGTCAGGCACATGGTACACTTGTAATCTCAGCACTTAGGAGCCAAGAGTTTGAGGCCATTCTGGATTACATAATGAATAAGGCCAGCCTGAATTACATAGTGAAACACTGTCTCAAAAAAGCAAAGCACACACACAAAAAAATCTATTACATCTCTTACCTGTACAGAGAAGTCCATCTTTGTAGTAAAGTGCATACACTCTGGCACTGTGTCCAATTAATGATGAGGTCTCAAAGGCTTCATGGTCCTCCAGTTGCTTCATTCTCAAAATAGCCTTCAAATAAACCTTCTTCCAGTGCAAAGCGTCCTGAACAGAATCATCTATCTGCCAGCCCAAATTTTTACATGCAGTCTGCCACACCTCTGTACAGGCACTTATCACCTTATTCCACTGTTTAGAGACGAGGCAGCATGTGAGTAAAGTCTGAGGATCGAGCCATTTTAACAAATAAAAACTGAGCTCCAGGGGAAGGAGTTTGAGGAAGTCTCGCTTGAGGAGAGTCTCTAGGTTATTGGAGAGATGCCTGAGCTGGACTGCCCCACTCAGACTAATCAGGTGATCCAGAGTTTCATTTTTCTGCAAGTCCGTCAGAGAAAGAAATGTAACAGAAATGTTATCAAGCCATGTCTCAAAGTCCTTTCTCTCCATAAGGTTATGGAAAAATTTACCTGTGGCACATCAAAATATTGTATTAGTTCTGCTCAAAAAGACCATTCAAGCAAGACTGCTAACAAAGGAAGTATTAAAAATTAGTGTTAAAAAATTCAGCATTACAACTTTATGCTTAGTTGCTACATTACAACTTTATAGTTAATACCCTATATTTATCTGAACAACTCCCATGCACACAAAAGAAAGTACATTTGACAAAACATACTGTAATAAATCATGATCTCTGAAATCTAAATCAGCATAAGACTGGTGTGTGTAACTTATTTCTTTTGAAGTCTATTACATGCTACATGCACTGTCACAGTAAAAGATTTACAAAATATTCAGTCATTTATTCATGATGATTCAAATGTAGGTCAGTGGCACAGCATTTATTCATCAACTGTATTCTATAATATACCCTCTCCTATCAAAACCTTTATAAAACTACTTCCTTAGTGAATTCCTTAATATACCTTTATTCGGGATTAAAATCACAAAAGCAAACAACAGCACATGACAACCAAAAAGCAAGTATTTGGAACAGTAACCTGAGACATTAGTTATCATGCTAGGCACAACCTAACCTGTCACAAAAACATATAACTAACTACTTGCTTTTGAACCACATATTCAGGTAAAAGTATCTGAAGAGGGAAAATGAACAGGTGTAATAAGTTATATATCTCAGGTATTCTGATTCTTTTACTTCCTTTATGTTACTACCTGTTATAACATGAATTAGCAAAGGCTTTATAAAGTCTATTTTTATAAGTTTCATATCAGTTAATGTCAACTCTCCAGGGAGCCATGAGACTTCTGGAAGACTAGACAAATAAGGCAAATTAATAATTCTGATGATGCAAGGTGTGGTGGCACATGTTTGTAACCCTATTTATGAGGCTGAGGCAAGAGGATCATGAGTTACAGGCTAGTCCAGGCAACAGAACAAGACTCCATGTCAAAACAAAACAAAAACAAAACAAGGGACTGAGGATACAGCTCAGCGCCTGCCTAGTAAATGCATGGTCCTGAGTTTGATTCTTAGTACCAAAAAAACAAAACGAAACACCAAAACATAGTAATTCTGATGCTTACAAACACTAAATCTGATTACTTAGTTCCTTACAAGACCCTAGTCCAATTTTAAGGGTTTATGCCCACATTAATGTGTAAGAGAAAAATACATTTCTTTTCAGATGTGTCACCTAGATCAGACCTACACAAAAACTCAGCTATGCTCTTCCAACTGCATTAAGTATCAAGTTTCCAGTAGCAAATGTGGCACAAAAAAAAAAAAAAATCTCATACAAAAAAAAGTATGATTTATTAACAGAAGCACCCAAACCTTCATTTTCGGAGGCACTAGAGATTGAACCCAGAACATCCTGAGTTATCTTCCCCTCTTTTTTGAGACAGGGTCTTTGGAAATTATCCAGGCTGGGCTGAAACTTGTGATCTTCCTATCTCAGCTTCTTAAGAATAATCATTCACATGACAATTTTCTGTAGGCATTCATACAATGTCACAATGACTAAAAAATACTGGTCAATCAAAAAAAATATGGACGTTGTAAATGTAGGTCAGTGGTACAGCATTGTCTAGCATGCACAGGGTTCTAAGTTCAATCCCCAGTACTGGGGAAAACAAAGTCCTTAAATTATTTTTCACAGTGAAAAGTAGGGAAGGGCTTCTTCCATTATATCTGCACATACACTATGACACACAGCTATTATTAAAATGTTGTATTCATACGAGCTGAATTATTTAAACAGTCACAAGGCAAATCTATAGTACCCCCTAAAATATTATCAAGCTCCCAGCTAAAGATACCCTAGGGGGTTGGAGGTTTAGCTTAGCGGCATAAGCGCCTGCCTTGCAAGCAGGCCGTTGTGAATTCGATCCCCGGTACCGATAAAAAGGAAAAAGACAAAAATAAAGAAAGAAAGAAAGATACCCTAAACAGGCCAAATAAATTTGCCCACAAGATTTCCAATAAGAACCTTTTAAATGTTGTTTCATTTTTGAGATTTATAAAAAATCTTTACATAAATTTTTTTGTCCAGCTTGTACATTACAGATTGTCCTATAAGCTGTTCAACTCCTTATAGGAGGCTGTTTTCTAATTCCTCATCTCTGATGGTTATGAAAAACATTTTCCCCCTAGTATTGAGTACTGAGACCAGGGGAGCTCTACCAGTGAGCTACATCCCAAATCATTTTTTTATTTTTTGAGAAAGTCTCACCAAGTTACTCAGGCTAGCCTCAAACTTGTGATGCTCCTGACTGAGCTCCTAAAGTAATTGGGGTTACAATTATACACCACCACACCCAGCTGGAAAAGGTATGTATTTTTTTTTTAAAAGTCATTAACTCTACAGAATGTATTATTTAAAAACATCAATTTTTACTTTTTTAAATAATCAACAAACATTGGAGGGGACTTCCTTAAGGTCTTAGGTTTAAACTGAATTCTTATAGAAAAACTCTAGCAATATCATGTAACAGTAGCACAAAGTCCCCAGGGGAAAACACAGGAAGTGTAATTTCAATTCAACAGGAGGAGGAGGAGCTTTTAAATCATCAAAGCTTTCCAAAAATGGGCTAGCCACCTCCAAATAGTAAGCTTCCCATTACTGTGAAAGGACAGCTGTATAAAAGGCAGAACGTGAAATGAATGAAAATGCTTTCTACTCTATTTTATTTCTTTAGCCACTTCCTACATTATCATAGGAATGTTGAACAAACTTCTATGTGGGAAGCTAAGAATCAGAAATAAAGGACATGTGAAGCCAGTTTAGGATAACCCAAACAACACTTTCTATTAACTTCAGTATTATGAAACCTGGCAGGAATCCTCTTTGTGGCACTGAGGCTGGAACAGCCATGACCACTAACATCTCTTTCAACTTTATGATCATATTATAGTTTTTCTTAACACCTGGAAGAAAAACTCAAGAACCAAAGTTACTGGGTGCTTAGTTTTAAAATTAAGGACAGTCACTGACTTGAGGCTATAACTGCCAAGTACTTTTTTCTCTCTACCCTTTCCACATGCTCTGCTGTCTTGCTCCCTTTTACTCCCACCACAAACTAAACACTAAACTTGCTCTTCTGTTTATGATACAAACAATCACAAAAGGTATGAGTGACATGAAGACTCCTAAATTAAGAGATGAGTATCTGGGCTTGGTCTATGGTTCTACTATTGATCCCCTATGTTTCTTTGGGCAATTCTAACATTTGTACTGGTTTTAAAGACTAATGTACTGCTCATAAACATTAGCGCATTTGATCTTCACAAGTTCATAGGACGTATCAGTAGTATCACTCTTAACAAGGAAATTTACAATCCAAGAGGTGTAGTGGATTTCCCAAAGATGCATAGGAAACAGCATGCTCAGATTCTTGCCCAGTCTTCACTCCCTCAAAGCAAAACAAAACCTAGAGACAGGGCATTCCAGGTAAAACTGTGAATGTGTTTCCCAGGCTACTCCATCAGGACTTGGCATGAAAGCCAGACATTTGTTGTTATTAGGAAGGAGTCACCTTACACTTTTTCCCTATAAGCACAACCAGTTATAAGATACAAAGGTTTTGAAAATGTATGTATACCTATAAGCTTATATATGCACAAAATACATTTTGAGTATTTAAGAAACTTGTAACACTGGCAAATTCCAGAGAGAAAAAGGGGCAGGAAGTTCCTTTTAATTACATACGATTTCAAATTTGAAACAGTGTGGATCTGGTTCCTACTGAAAAGCTATTAGTTTTAATATAGAGTCAATTTTAAAATATATTTATAAAATACCACCGCTGCAACTGCACTTGTTGTGGAGTGACCTTGGCTAAATCACTTCACCTTTCACAAGCCCAGCTTCTTGTAAAATGTAGCCACAAACAGCATTACCTACAAGGGGTTTTGTGAGGCTTAGACAGAACAATACACATAAACTGTTTAGCATATTACCCGGCACTGTAAGCCTACAATAAATGCTAGTTATTATTGTTTAGGATTAATGTTGTTACGGTTTTTTTCTTCTTTAAAGCACTGCACCTTGCACACACTCCTGTTTCCATGGCATACCCACAATTATGGCGCACTCCCTCACATTATTACAACATTTTGTATTTCAGAAACCACCTCTGCGCTTCACCATCTTCTACACTCCTGGCAGCCCGGGAACATAACTCATTTCACAGCTAAGAAAGCAGGCACCAGGAGGGAGGAACTAAGTGGCAGGACTCCGAGACCTAATTTTCCAATCCCTAAAACATACTCCTGGTCCCTTAGCCCGTTTGTCATTCCCAGGTATCCTGCTCCCGCAGCCGCGTTCTGCGGGGCACTGACCTGAGCGAGCGCCCCGGGGCCTGGGACCTCGCGCCGGGCTCACACCGACTAGGGGCGCTTGGGCCGCCAGAGCCTCGCAGCGGCCGGGTCCGCTCCGCAGCCATGGCGCCTGCAGGGAAGGAAAGACAAACAGCCCGAGGCACGGAGGTCAACACAGGCACCGAAGCCCCATAGGTCCCCCTCCCCAGCGGGCACCGCCTAACACACAGACCTGGACCTGCGGCCGCCGCTCAGGGTCCGCAGCCTCACAGGGGAGCGGCTTCCGGTGCTGCCTACGTCATCTCCGCGCGTCTCACAGCCCCGCTGCTGTCGGCGGAAGCGGCTACACTTCCGGCCCCAGTCCCAAGGGAAAGGGGCGGCGGGAGTGTGGCGTGAACCTGCCTGTTTTACTTCTGGCACCTCACCAAAGCTTCCTTCCGTGCTGTATTTTTTAATTATCTGAGTGCTTCTGAATGTCGCCGAATTTTATCTTGCACCAGCTCAGCAGCAGTTTTTCTTATTCCTACTTCAAAGAAAAGAGGGAGCTATTGCTAGAGAAGTTGACAAATTCAAACAATCTCCTGAACACCTGTTATATCCCGAACATTGTTCTAGGAGTTGGTTTAGTGAACAAAAATCAAAATTTTCTACCTGGGGCTTGTATCTGGAAGGCGAAAGCCAGATAAACAAGATACAGGACAACTCTTAACAAGTGCTAGGAAGAAAAGTAAAAAGCAGTCAGGTGATTTGAATCACAACACTTAAACTCTGGTTATACTACATAGGAGATAAACTTAGAGTAGTTAACCTCTGGCACTTTTGCATAACGATACTACTGTATCCCCCATCTGATTGTTTAAAGGGTTGAAGACTACAAGACAAGGGTTATGCTGTCAAGGACTAAAATTGCACCAAGCATACAGACTATGAAACTTTGTGTAAGTACCCTCTAGTTCAGATCCCACACGAGTATTACAAAGTAGTTACTGTTGTTACCTCTATATCCAAAATGAGGAAACTAAAGTCTAAAGTGGTTTAGAACCTCAATCTAAATCAACTTGCCTTTTTTTGTTTTGTTTTTTGGAGACAAGGTCTTGATGTGTAGTTGAGTCTGGCCTTGAACTATGTACCTGTGATCAGGATTTACATGGTAATGGATTTAATACAGGACACAAATAGTGAGATTATTTTATAATATTAACCCAAAGAGTCAAATACAAAAAGAGTGTGGGAAATCTGCCCACACACCAGAGACCCAAGAATCAGGATGAACTCCTCTGATAGAACAGCTGAGTTCATACCAGGAAATCCAACTTCTCCAGGAGGATCAACAGCACAGGTGACCTTCCACACTAGTTCCCCTTTTATGCTGTTGGCAGCAGTCCTCAGGAGGGTCTTCCACACCCAGCATCACACTGATTCATTTCAGCTGGATGTTAGAAGCTGACCATTGGTCAACCACAATACCCCAGGCTGGCCTCATGGCAATCCTCCTACCTCAGCCTACCCAATGCTGGCATTACAGGCATGTGCCTCTGTGCCAGGCCCAAGTCTCCTTGTGTGTTTTTAAGGGCCCATTAAGTATATTCACATGTATGTATACAGCACTGTCCATTAGGATCTTCAGCAATGATGGAAATGTTCTCTCTTGGTGCTATTAAAATGGTCACTAACCTTATAGCTATTGAACACTTGAAAAGTGCCAATGTAACTAAGGAACTAAAGTTTTAATTTTAATTTTAGTTAATGTGAATTTATAAAACTGCATGCAGTTGATGGCTACCATATTAGACAGAATAGTCCAATTATATAGGCATAACACACAATGTAGACAGTAAAAAAGTCACATATCCAGCTAGTGGTAGCATAGCTAAGGGGCTGAGTAACCTGATTCAGTTCAGCTGGGTGTTACAAGCGAAACATAGTTGAAACACAGGAAATAAGTAAAAATTGTGTGAGAAGGAAGTCAACCATAGGTCCTCAAGGTCAGTCCACAAGAGAACAAATTTTATTTGCTAGCCAAAGGAAGCCATTGATAATCCTAAAAAAAAAGACCAAAACAAAGTCATAATTTTTAATTTGCACTTTGAGAAAAACTGGAATTTCAAGACACAAAAATTTTGAGCCTTAATCCCATCCAGAAAATTCAGGAAAGGAGGGAAGGAAAGAAGAAAGTTGATTTCCCAACGGTCTTAAAAACACAGTAAACCTGGAATCACACATTTCACCTGTAAACTACACTTCCTACCACAGAAAGCAGGTAGCATAGCTCGCTTCAAACACATGTAAACAGTTTACATTTTGAAATACCCCCATGAGTAACCTGATAAACAGTAGAAATACACATCCTAGCTCACCCATCTTAGCTCACCTGCTAAGGCCATATAAACCCTCCAAACCCTGGCTATAATGAGCCTCTCTCAAGGACCCACATTTTATTCTTTTTGAGTGTGTATGTTTTAAATTTGGCTTAATAAACCTCTTTATGCCTTTCACTGCCATGTCTTGAAAATTCTTTATCTGTACCCCATGTTATTTCCACTTTAGGGAACCTTCTGGGATCCATCTGATAAATTATTGTAGACTTCTAAGCCAAAGAGTGACTGGTGACATTATAAGACACTTAAGAAAAGATGGACATAGATTACCTCTATGAAAGAAAAGGTAATAAAACTAAGCAAGTATTATCTCTTTGCTGAAAATGGTCTCAACCCCAGTAGGATAGATGTATGATAAATAAACTGAAAATTCCAGATGGAGCTGCTTCAAGGATAGTATTGTTTGTCTCAAAGCAAAGAAACCAAACTATGTAAGTCTGAGACCAGAAGAGGTCCAGGAGGAAAATGTATGACTATAAAAAATGTAAAATATAATTCATGTTTAAATACACGACTCACATGAGCTATGAGCTATGTAATTGTTAGATCTAGTATATGTAAAAAAAACCCCTTTCATTTGAATTTTGTTAGCTTAGCCATTCTCATTTGGTAAAAATTTCCAAGCTTGCGTTATGATTGTTCAGAAAATATAGACAACTAAAGACCAGACATGGAGGCACATAGTCTCAGGACTTTGGGAGGCTGAGTCAAGATAGTCACAAATTTCAGACTAACTTAGGCAATTTAGTGATTTATCAAGACCCTTTATCAAAATAAAAATTAAAAAGGGGCTGAGAAAGTAACCCAGTGTAAAGTCCCAGTGTTCACTCCCTGCTGTTACTAAGAAGAAAGCAAGCAGGGGGTGGAGAGAGGGAATAGCCATCTGTAAATACGAGAAGTTATTCCTAGCCAGATATGAACAGTAACTACCAAATTCCTGTGTGTGGCAAGTAGGAAGATCATTATGTGAAAAGTAAGATAAAAATATAACTCCAAATGAAAACAGAATGGTTCTGTAACAAGAACATGAAAATATAATGAATGTTGTTTCTTTTCTTGAAATAAACTTGCTAATAGACATGGTATTTAGAGTAATTCCTACATGCTCAAAAAACAAAAAGATAAACTGATAAACATCAAATGCTTACTTTCTTCTGTTCACACTAAAAGGAGCTATATGATATAGATGTTTCTCATTAAATGGCCTAGCTGTTTAATGATTATTTAGACTCATGACCTGGTGCTCTGATTTAAGACCCATGCCTTTTTTTGTACAGTTCTATATAGCATATTGATAGGACCTCAATGTTTATTTGGCTCACTTATAAGGACTATTTGCTTCCAACAGTCCTTCAGGTGATAATAAAACTGAGTAATTTGAAGTCAAATAAATTCTCAGAGATAGAATCAAAATTTTAAGAAGTGATATTACCTTGGAAACTTTTTGCTATGTAGAGATGTCTCATATTATATGGACACATATATTTTCTCAAGGGTTATGTATATACTTCTGAATCACAGAAAACAATTGAGTGATTAATGCTGTTATTTTTGGCTCTGTGATTATTTTATGTTTTTAAGTTTTGTCTTACACTTCTGGCTAGTAAGATCCTTTACTATGTACTTTATATTATTTCCTATCCTCCAGGTATTTACTGCAGAGGTAGACAGTGGTGGTTCCATTAACAATAATTTCACTATCAAAGATATTTGACATTTCCCATTATTTTTCTAGTGCCAAGCAGGTTCATGGTTCATGATCTTATTAGCAATACTTTAGTTTCATTGATCTCTTGCAGTGATCCCCAGAAATGCCTTCATTAATGCATCGAGATTGCTGTGTGAACAATATGAAGCATTCATGGAAACTGCTAAAATCCCAGGAAAGGGCAGATGAGAAAATATAGGAATAGATGATTTATTGATTTGCTAAAATCATATCTTTGATTGTATCTGTTTTGCAATCACGACTGATGAACACTTTCTATATCATTACTGTATCATAAGATACCCTGAATTTTCTGATTAATTTTCATCCTTGCTTTTTCTGACATGTAGGGGATCAATAGTCCCAAACCCAGCTAATGTGATGATTTGTCGCTGGCTACTGTATTTTATTTGAAAAGTTATTGGAGAACATGTGTTCATAAGAAAAATCATTTTCATTGAATTTTTTGATAATATGTCTAGTACAGATATTCATTGCTTAACAGCCTATTTAAAATAGGGTTTACAACTGAGGCATGCTGTTCAAACTTATGACCCACTGTTTGGACTTAAAATCCACCCCTTTTTGTGTATAGTTCTGTACATCTTGTTGATATAGCCTCGATGTCTTTTCTATATAGTACTCCTTGTTTACATAGTTCTATATTTTTTGCTGATTGTACTGTATAGTGCTATAGTTTTATGTTCTGTTATATATTACAGTACTGAATGTAAGTTATGCAAATAAAAGCAAAGTTTTCAAGCTGGAGTTTCCTTTGGCCATTTCTTTGTTCTGAATTTTATAATATACATTATATACAGTTCCTCATTTAGTGACCAATTTGTTTAATGATCTAGTCACAGGAATGTAACTCCATTGTTAAAAAAGGAACATCTGTAATTCTTATTTGGAGATACACTTACTGGAAAGAGGTAGTTTCATGATTTACAATTGACTTACTAAAGTTCTTGCATAGGTATTCAAAATCTTTTCCAATGAGACACACACCAATCTCACTATGATATTTCCTTGAGGTGACAAAAATCAAAATGTATTTTGGGAAAAAGCTTCTTGATGTATAGAAAACAGTTTTAATATGTTCATGTACCAGGGAGCACATATTAGATCCTTTTTTTAGCTTTTTGAGATGTACTCCAAAAAACCCCACTCTACACTATTTCTCCTTGGGTGATGATGCTATGGAGAAGTTGTATGAGTAAACTGTTCTTTGAATGCTCACATATACTTCGCCAGGAACTCAGCATAAATTAGAAGATCATTTTTCATGAGATACCAAGGCTAGAAGTATTTGAAGGAGTTTGCTTTTTCTATTCTTTGTTCTGAATTCACTCTAGCTGTAACAGTATCAGCACTCACTCTCCTATGCAATAGGCTGTTCTTCCAGGACAAAAGCTCAGGTTGATTGGCAAGAAACCTTATCCTTAAAGTTTGAGATGCAAAATACTATACTGCTATTGCTATTTGCCTGGAGTGATCCTGAGATACATTTGGACATAAGTTGGCATCCGGGTTCAGTAACTTCCAAAGACCTGAAATTGTTCACAGACACATTATGCAGGTAAGTTTCTGATAATATTTGAAGCATTTGCTATCTACCAAAACAGGCTTTGAGGAATATAAGTTTCTTTTTGTGTAAATTATCAGTACTGAGAACATGGAAAGGAATTCAGAGTATAAGTATAGGAGTTTGTTACATTTTGTCTTATTCAGTGGACTGGACAAAGAAACGCAGGACTCAGGATCTGCTAGTGCTTGAGAGTGAATTTTAGAATTTGACAGTCTAATTCAAATCATAGTCCTACTCCAATGCTTTACCCACTGCGTGATCTTGGGCAAATTACCAATCAGTTGCTCAGCTTAATTTTGAAGCTATCTGGAAGGGATTTTATCAGAGCTAAATTGAGCTAAAGTATTTAGCACAGCATCTGGTATACAGGAAGTGCTCAATAAGAGGTAACTATTATTATGGAAGGCTTTGTTGATCAAAGATCTAGTGAAAAGAGATTTAATTCCTTTAATGTTTCTTAGTTCTATTATATTAAAGTTCTGCATATTTCCTTTCCAGATGGAAAGTTTTCACCTCCTTTGTGAGTAAGCTTGGCACAGGTCCATCCTGGATCTTTGAAGAGGTACTAGTTATGTAGGTCATAGAAATCTGCCCATGTTGACAGACATTTCAGATGGATTAGGAGACATTGTCCAAACAGACTCTGATTCAGTATTAGATTAAATTATAAAGTCATCCTAGAAGAACATAAATGTTGCATAATAGCCAGTGTATGGTGACCAACAAAAGCAACTGCTTCATGGAAAAATAGTCCTTGACCTTTGTAATTAGAGAAGTCCTTCCATTCAATTCGATCCAAGTGCTTCCATTCAAGAGAGAACATCATATATTTTCCAATAGTTTTGTGTCACAATGATACTACTTATTTTGTAATACCCATGTGTGAATGCCTGATTCTGCTTCATACTCTGAGTTTCTAACATAGTGTCCTGCATATAGTAAGTCAGCATTTATCAAAACAAGGAAGAAAGCAACTAACATGTTGCTCAGTGTCCACTTTGTGTCAAATACTGGACATGGCAGCACTGGAGAAGAAAGAAACATGATGCCTGCTGCCCAAGAGATCACAGTCCAGTACAAGAGACAGATAATAATAAATAATAAACACCTAGCCTAGACTACTGAGTGCTACAATGATCTGTAGAGGATTCACTGGGGGCAAAAAATGGGAATGGAGACCACACTTTAATGATGTGTCTTTTTCTTATTTAGATGACATTCTGCAGACTTCGGACTCATCAATGGTGTTTCATTCTGTTTAATGTCGTACTATTTCACGCCTTGCTTTTTGGGGCTGAATTTATGGAAGAATACTTTCTGCACTCTCTGCCTCCTGTCAATATGAAAGTTCTTGAAATTAAAGATAAGGCAAGAAAATTGAACATGGAATCTATACGAAGTATTCCCTCCAAATATTATATTCTGAGCCAGCCAGAGGTGTGTAAAGAAAAGAGTATCTTTCTGCTCTCTCTTGTCTTCAGTAGTCCAGAAAATAGAACAAGACGAGATCTCATTAGGAAAACCTGGGGTAATGTGACAAGTGTCCAAGGGCACACCATTCTTACACTGTTTGTTTTGGGAATGCCTGTTTTGGTAACTACTCAGAAAGAGATAGACAAAGAATCCCATAAAAATAATGATATAATTGAAGGACTCTTTTTAGACAGTTCTGAGAACCAGACCCTAAAGATCATTGAAATGACTCAGTGGGCTGTCAGTTTTTGCCCTAATGCCCTATTCATCCTCAAGGTCGATGAAGAGATGTTTGTCAATCTACCAACCTTGGTAGCCTACCTTCTTAATCTGAAAGAACATCTTGAAGATATTTATGTAGGAAGAGTTATCCATCATGATATACCCAACAGAGACCCTAATAGCCAAGGATTTGTCTCTCTTAGTGAGTATCCTGAAACATACTACCCAGATTACTGCAGTGGTGAGGCTTTTATAATGTCCCAAAATGTGGCCCGGATGATGTATGTGGTTTTTAAAGAAGTATCCACTATGGTGCCTGCCGATGTGTTTGTAGGAATTTGTGCAAAGACCATTGGCCTTAAACCTATACACAGTTCAAAGTTTTCTGGAAAAAGGCATGTCAGATACAACAGATGTTGCTATAAGTTTATTTTTACATCCTCAGAAATTATTGATGCTGAAATGCCCTTGGCATGGAAGGAACTTAATGATGGGAAAGACTGTTCACTATTTGAGACTTACTATGGGCTCATTTCCTGCAAACTTCTGACATACCTTGACAGCTTTAAACATTTTCGCATGGGGACCATAAAAAACAATGCTATGTATTTTGGTGATTAAGATTTCTTTGTTTTTCTTGTAAGTCTATTATTTTTAAATTTCCTTCTACTCATTAGAGAAAGCAGCCCACTGTCCTCACGTTTTATGTGGTTTCTCTGAATCTTTGTTCATACTTTGCAAGATACCAAATGTTCTTAATGCTTTGATGTACTCAATCTTCTAGAAGTCTCATTTTAAGAAATTTAAGTTAATGCAGCCTAACTTTTTTCAAAATAAAATCTTTCAGAATATAGAGCTATATTTAATTATTACACAGTCCTTTAAAAAACTAATGTAAAAATGTGTATATTTATGATATACAACATAATGTTTTATATGTGTACATTCTGGAATGGCTAAATCCAGCTATTTAATATCTTATCTATTTAATCCAACTATCTTACATACTTTTTTGTGGTGAGCATATTTAAAATTTACTCTTTTAGCAATTCTCAAGTATACATTATGGCTATGAATGCTCATTACTATCAAGGTGAACAATACTCTTGAGCTTATTTCTCATGTAAACTGGCCAGGCTTTTTTGCCCTTTAACTAACATTTCCCTGATCCCCCCACTTTCCAGCATTGGGTAACCATTTTACTCTCTGTTTCTGAGTCTGACATTTTTACATGCTGCATATGAGATCATATGCTTGGATTATCTCACGTACCATGATGTCCTCTCAGCTTATCCATATTGTTACTAATGACAGGATTTCCCTTTTTTCAGGCTAAAACAATTTTCCCATTTTAGATATAATTCACATTTTATTTATATGTTTAAAGAAAACAGATGGACACTTAGGTTGATTCCTTATCGTTGTTATTGTAAATAATGATTCAGTGAACATTGGAGTATAGATATGTCTTTGACATACTGATTTAATTTCTTTTGGATATAAACCCAGTAGTGGAATAGCCAGGTCATATTTTAGATCTAATTTTAATTTTTGAGCAACTTTCATACTGTTTTTCATAATGGTTATACTAATTTTATTCTCACCAACAGTGCACAGTGCTTCCTTTATCTTTACATCCTCCTCAACACTTGTTTCTTTCATTTAAAAAATATTAACCATTTTAATTGGTGTGACATGATATCTCATTGTGGTTCTAATTTGTTTTTTCTTGATGATTATTAATGTTGAACACTTTTTCCGTACAGTCTTTGGCCTTTTATGCTTTTTGGGTTTTTTGGGGGGAGTATTATTTGACAGGATCATGCCAGATTTCCCAAGGTGTTCTTAAGTTCTTGGGCTCAAGTGATACTTCCAGGTTAGTCCCTGAATAGTTGCGTTCCCACTAGCATTCCACAGTGGGCCGGTTGTGTCTTCATTTGAGAAATGTCTATTGGGTTCCTTTGCTTGTTTTATAATTGGGTTGTTTTCTTGCTATCGAATTGAGTGGCTTATAATTTTGAATATTAATCTCTTACCAATAGTATGGTTTGCAAATATTTTCTCAAATTCCATGTGCTGTCCCTTCACTATGTTGATCACTACCTTTGCTATGCAGAAAACTTAGCTTGGGGGGCAGGGGATTTATCTCAGCAGCATAAGCACCTGCCTTGCAAGCAGGTGGTCGTGAGTTCGATCCCTGGTACTGGAAAAAAGGAAAGAAAAAAAAAAAAGAAAACTTAGCTTGATATAATCTCATTAACCTGTTTTTGTGTTGTCTGGTCTTGTACAGAATATTTATGCCCAGATCAATGTCATAGAGCTCTTTTCTTACACTTTACTCTGGTCATGTTACAGTTTTTGGTCTTATGTTCAATGTTTTCATACACCATGAGTTGATTTTTTTTCAGTCATGGGCATTGAGCTCAAAACGTTGCACAGAATATGCCACTATTGTACCACTGAGCTACATCCACAGTGTTTGGTTTTGTTTGAGACAGAGTCTCACTAAACAGTACATGCTATCTTTGAACTTTGACCCTCCTTCTTCAAGTTACCCAAGACCTGGAATTACAGATATATTGTACCATGCCCAATGCAAGCTAATTTTGTACATACTGTGAAATAAGGATCTATTTTTATTCTTTTGTGTGTAGATTCCCAGTTTTTAAAGCAGCATTTATTGAAGTGAATGTACTTTGCCATTGAGTGTTCTTGGCATTTTTGCTGACAATTGATCCTAAATGCAAGGATTTATTTATGAGCCCTCTATTCTGTTTCATTGGTCTATTTGTCTATACCGATGGCAGTACCATATTGTTTTATTATAACTTTTTAGTATAGTTTAAAGTCAGATAGTATGATGAAGCCAGGTTTGTTCTTTTTGCTCAATATCGCTCTATTTGGGGTCTTTTGTGCTTCTGCATGAATTATAGGATTTTCTGTCTATTTCTGTGAAAAATGTCATTGGGATTTTGATAGATTTACATTTAATTTGTAGATAACTTTGGGTAATAGTGTGGAATATTAATTTTTCCAACCTATGAACACAGGACATCATTCTTTCTTTTGTGTTTTCTTTGATTATTTCATCTGTGCATCCAGTTCCTTAGTTTATTCCTAGGTAATTTTTTGGTATAAAGGATACATTATGGTTAGTCTATGGAAATGCTACTGATTTCTATTGTTGATTTTTTATTCTGAAACTACTGAATTTATTCTTAGTCCTAAACATTTTGGATAAAGTCTTTAGGATTTCTTAGATATAAAATTATATCATCTGCAAACTAACCATTTTAACTTATTCTTTTCCAATTTGGATGTCTTTTCTTTCTCTTCTCTAATTTTTTGGCTAGAACTTTTAGTACCATTTTGAAAAGAAACAGTGAAAGTAGGCAATCTTGTCCTATCCCTGATGTTTCACCCTTCTGTATATGTTAGCTGTGTAGCTGTCATACATGTCTTTATCACAGGGTACCTAATTTACTGAATTTTTTCTCATGAAAGAGTGTTGAATTTTATCAAATGTCTTTTCTGCATCTGTTGATATACTCATATGACTTTCTTTCACTCTGTTACTTTGGTGTGTCACAGATGTAGATTTACAAATATTGAGCCAACTCAAAAAGTGACCTTATGTTTGCACTTCACCATGGGGAATTACCCCTTTGTGTGCTCCTTCATTGAGTTTGCTAGCATTTTTTGGAGGATTTTTGTATATATGTTTACCAGAGATATTGGCTTGTAATTAGATTTTCTTGTGGTGACTTTATCTATAATGCTAGCTTGGTAAGATAAGCAGTACTTCTTTGTGTATTTTCTAAAAGCTGAGTAGGATAGTAGTACTTCTTTAGGTATCTAGTAGATTGAACAGTGAGACCAGCAGGTGTTGGTTTTTTCCTTAATAGAAAACACTTTATTACTAATTCAGTCTCCTTACTGTCTGTTTTCTGTTTAGAGTTTTCATTTCTTCACAATGTGCTCTTGGTAGGTTTAATTTGCCTAGGAATATTTCCATTTCTTCTAGGTTTTCTGATTTGCCAGTGTATTATCATTCACAGTAGTCACTATAATCCTTATAGTATTCCTGATTTTTTTCTACACCTCTCTTTATTTGAATCCTTTTCCTTTTTTGATAATCTAGCAATTTGTTGACTTTATTTCTTTTTAAAAAATTAACTCAGTTTTGTTGATATTTTCTATTATTTTTTGAGTCTGCTTAATTTATTTCTCCTCTGATCTTTATTTCCTTCTTCCTAACATGAGTTTTAGTTTATGCGTCTAGTTCCTTGAGTTATAACATTGAGATGTTTGTTCAGGACCTTTTTATTGTAGATATTTATTGTAGTAAGTTTCCTTTTTTAAAACTGCTTTTGCTGCATCCCATAAGTTTTGGTATGTTGTGTTTCTGCTTTGTCTCCAGATATTTTTAGATTTCCCTTTTAAGTTATTCCCTTTTAAGATTTCCCTTTTAAGTTATTCTTTAGCTCATGGGTGTTTAGGAGTATATTGTTTAATTTCCATATATTGATCAATAATTTCTTAAAATTACTATTGACTTCTAGTTTGATAACATTATGGTTAGAAAAAATAGTATGATTTTTGTATATCTTAAATTTGCTAAAATTAATGCTATAGCCTAATATGTGAGCTATTCTATATTCTTCAGAAGAATATGCATGCAAGCAATTTATAAAGAAATGAGACTAGGATATGCATCAATATAGACTAGAATATGCATTAATATATATGTATCATATATAGATATATGATCCATTTGGTCTAAAGCAAAGTTTATAAGACCATTAGTCACAACTGTCAACTTAATTACATTAAGAAATAGCTGGCAGATTAATAAAACATACTTCAGAATGTCTGCGAGGTGTTTCCAGAGATAGTTGGCTATAAGTGAGCAAACTAAGAGGGGGGCACCCTGCATGGCACCAACCACCAGGGCTGCAGCCAGGATGGAATGATAGGGGGGAAAAGGAGACAGTCAGCTTGCATTTGAAAAGCTCCATCAGCTTGAGCTCGTATCATTGCTTATGGACATCAGGCTCTAATATCTTGAGCTTTTCAAGTTGAACTCGTATCAGTGACTCTCCAGGGAGATTTCAGGGCTGCAGTTTCAGACTGGCACTGCGTCTTTAAATGTTGTTCTGCAGCTTCCAGCTTCTTGGACTGAGAAGCTGCTGGGCCCTGTGACTCTTCAGTGTGCAGAGAGCCATTGTGGACTACTGTGACATCCAGTCACTCTTGCTATATGTTGATTGTGTTCTTCAAGAAAACCCTAACCAAAATGGTTTACATCCAATGTTTCTTTATTGATTTTGTCTGGATTTGATCTGTCCATTATTAAAGTAGGATACTGAAGGCTTATAATTCCATACTTTTATTTTCTCCCTTCCCTCCCGATCTATCGATATTTGTTCTGTGTTTAGTGCTCTGATGTTACATGTATATGTATTTACAATTGGTACAGCTTCAATTTAAAGATAAATTTATCTTTGTCATTATATAATGACCTCTTTTGTCTAGTTTGATAGGTTTTGACTTAGTATTTAATGTTTTTATAATTTTCTATGTGTATACCTTTTCTAGAAGTGTAACTACTGCTGTCTCAC